TATAAATATCTATATTAAAACTAATTAGGAAATAGCAAAATTTTTTATTTAGATTTTTGCTTAAAACTTTTAGTTAAATATTAGGCTTATAAGAGAATCCATAATCCTAAACAAAATCCTGTCAATTAGGATTTGTTTGTATGTGTTGCACTATATTCCAGAGGTAAATGAGGCAGCAACAACTAGTTATGTTTATTGAAAAACAGGTTTTGTACTACCTGGGAAACAAAACTGTGAACCTGAACTTCAATAAACAAAGCCAGTTTATCAGTTGAGATTTTATACTTAATTTAAATTGGGCTCGCCCGTAGGTAAGCGGTTGAGAGCGAAGGGACTTGTTTCAGAGGTCCCGGGTTCGATACCCACTTGGAGCAACAGTGACAACGATTTTCACTTGGAAATATAGATAGCAATATGTTTCCAAGTAAAAATAGCCCTCACCCGGCATTGTCCCACACAGCACATGGTTGACATAGGGTCAACCTATGGTCGTCACAATGGGCTGTAGGGTTAACCTATGGTCAACCCACTGGTACCATATATGAACATAGGTGAACCCATGGCGGCACATATGTCAGAGCCCTGGTTTGACCCATGGTCAACCCGCCGGGTTCAATACGGGTATGCTATGGGGCTGGAATGGTATCGCGATGGGTCAAAATGGCGGTATATAGTGCAACAATTGTTGCATACTTTCCGTGCGTATTTGTATTAAATATAAATAATCCATATAGTTATAAAAATCAAATGAGCTAAAACTGCAACTCCATAAGTAATATATTTATTAAAAATAATTTCATTTACATTACTAGAAAATAACTAAATTAAACTAACTTAACTAAATTTTTGGTGATTATTATCCTAAAACCTATTATTTTCTATGTATAGTATTATTATTATTTATATAATTTAAACTAATTATTCACATTGGGTTCACCATCTTCTAAAGCACTGAAAATAACAAAATTTGAATTATAGTTTTACAGGTTTATTTTATCAAATAAAAAATGTTAGTTGACATTTTCGAAATATGTGGAATATATTTCAACTTACGGAAAAATGCAAATAAATCTGTCATGGGCATGACGGTATATGTATATTTAGCAGTATATATAATTGATTTGTCCACTTTTATCCATTGGGTAACATCATATTTAGCGATATCTCTGCTATTCTCACATCTGTCAATAGCTGCTCCACATCTAGCAGTTCTGCCTCTGTCCGAACAGGAAATTTATTATAAACTGCCAGTGTATAATCAGGCAAATCATCCTTCATATCACACTGGCATCACTGCTTATTAAGCCTATATTCATTAAAACCTGGTGCCGTAATGAATCAGCCTTTTTATTAATATTGAATGTAAAATCTGAACAATATACAACCTTATACTGAGGTTTACCACAATATTCTATCAAATGTCCTTCGAAATGCATAGACATCTCACAAGCTCTAGGCATGGCTACAGGCCTTACATGTTTTCCCATAAAAAGTTCTTTTACCTCAAAGTATCTTTCATAACTTTGCTGCAATGGTTTCTCTGACTTCCGTATGTATTTTTTCAAGACCTGCATGTAATTCTCAAATTTAAAGGCACTAAATGAATCAAGTGTACCAAAACTTCTGGTGTCATTAGCTAAGTGTAAAATGTTATATATATTATGACTTACATAATGATCTCCATATAAAACCTTAAATCTTTCAACAAAATGATGAAGTAGTTGCTGAGCATAATCTAAAAGATCATTTAATAACGTGTTGCTACATAAAATTTTAATAGCAATATGTAAAGTAAGAAAATTTTTATAAAAGTCATTTGAAATATGACATGAGATTTCAAAACTACTGGACCACTATACAATAATAATTGTCTAAATTCTGTAGCTTTCCATGGTCTCATATATTTCAATGATCGAGGCTTCCTAGCAAAGTCCTTGGATATATAAATCTTTAAGCTGCATAAAAAATTGGAAAAGTCATTAGTTTTAGCACATGGCAAACGAATTGGAAGCTCACCTTCAGTCCACAAAAGCATCAATCTCTTAACTGCTCCTAAACAAATCAAATTCATATAGTCAAGTGGTACATTAGTAACTAAACAAATGTACGGTATTTCAAGCAATCTCGTATAGCCATTGTGGTAGTCTTCATCTTCTAAGCTTCGAAAGTGTTCAGCTGTTCTTGCAGGTGATTGCATTTTTGGAAAGCAAATTCTGCGATTAATATTTGAACCACGAGCAAGACATTTCGAGCAACAGAAGCAGCCTGTGTGTCCCTTTTCTGCAATATAAATGATTTGGCGGGAGTATCACAAACAAAATATTTGATGCGTACCTTATATTGTTTCCCATTGTGATCAAAACCCTCAGTGCTTAATAGACCAAGCTGACATGTTCGAAGAATTCGAGAGAGGCAAACCATCTACATTAATTTCTAATTCAATGATAGAAGATATCAATTTCAACCTATCAATAGAATCTTTCAATCCAGTTAATAAACCAAAATGAATATATTCACCTGGACTTACAACTTTTGATACAGCAGTTCTTTTTGTTTTCAGAAGTGTTCTACTATCTGCTGGTAAATCACTGAAACAATCATGAAGTTTTAGCCCTTCAAGTAGTGCGAATACAGCATTATGAGGTATCTGACAATTCACAACCCAGTCTGCTAAAAATTGTCTTGCATCAAAAACTTCAGTTATATCTTCATTGGAACTATCCTCGCTATATGAAAGAGAAATATAATCATTTGTTTCAACATCACCCTGTAACTCTGCCTGGCAAGAAGACGGTCCTTCAAAGTCATCTCCAATAGAAGCATTAGTCGCAGTTTCAATATTATCTATTGTAAAAGCACTAGTACTAGGCAATCCTTTACGCATTCAGAGTTCTGCAAAACACTTTCCGAACGTAATTTCTGCACTTCCCAAAAAAGTCTTCTATAAAAATGTCTATCTGACACAGTCGCAATGTGTTTGCGAATTTTTTTATCAGACATATATATTTATAGAATTTTTTTTGACAAATTACAGAGTCAAACGACAAACAAATTACGAATATATTATATTCTAATATTGTTTAGAATTTTAGTAGCATAAGTATACGTATACAGTACTCAGGTTATATTTGTTCATCGTGTTTATCTATGACAGTCATGAGAACAGACAAAGAAATACAAATGCCGAACAACATAAGTGCCGCCATCTGTGCGCTAGTTGTGCAAACGCCGCGCACGCGTATGCGCATGCGCGGTATATTTGAATACATTTTTCATTTGCCCATAACAACTCGGTGAGTAATGGGTCAGAGTAGGTCGACCATTGTTTGACCCGGCGCGTAACGTATGGGTCTAAGCCCACTGCGTCATAAATTGGCCCATAATGGGCTTATAATAACCCGGTAGGCTGTAAATGGTACCAAACAGGTCGACCATTGTTTGACCCGTGCTGTATGGGGTTGCACCATACTTATACCCTATTACAGAGATTGTAATAAAAATTTATCATAAAAGAGATGTGACAACTGTTTGGGTTGCCATCTGTAATAAAACAAACGTAGTTTGTAAGATAATCACAACAGCTGATAGAACACATAAGTTCTGATCGCTGTTCAAATAAAAAAAAAAATAATAATAATAACAGCCTTTTTTATGGTATTTTATGTTTATTTATCTATGCTATCATCTGTGAAAGACATTCGAGATATAAACCATAGATAAATAAGCATAAATATAAACATTAGGCTGATATAAACATTGTCCTGTCAGCTACAACTATTATTTTCAATATTAACTTTCCGTAGGGTAAGTTATTATAGTAATCGCAAAAAAATCGAAAATGAAATTTTTTATAAATCTTTACGTTTCAAAGATTTCTGAACATTTTGGAATACCATAGAAAAAATGGATGTATGTGTGTGTGTAAGTATGTGCGCGTGTGTGTGTGCGGATACAAATTTTCGTCGACGATTTCGGGAACAGGAATCAACCGATTTCAATAATTCAAAAAACATTCGATTTGTATTGATAAGGAGACGTGTTGATTAGTTTTTGGCAGAGGCAGGTTTAGCCGTTCCGAAAATACGGGGCAAAAAGTGCCAAAAACGGTAATGCAGTTTCTAAGGGAACGAAATTTTTGGGAAGGCAGGTCTAGCGCTTTCGGATATCTAGTGAAAATATAAGAATATATATATAAAATATAAGCAAACTCGCTTTGAGTATATATATCAGATGAAGTTTACAAAACGTAATTTTCCCTTGAAAATACAATATAATAATGATATATACTGATTTAACTAAAAAAATCGGCATGCCAAAATTAACATTTTAATTATTTTTTATGTCATTGCATGTTTATTAAAGTTATTTCTATAAATTATTTCTTCAATAATATTACGTACTATTTTGCCGCAGAATCAGGGGAAATTAAATAAAACTTATTTATGTATTATATTTTACATGGGGATAGGTAATAGCTGTACTAGCTGATATATTAATGTTTGCACGTAGCGTAAAACCACGTAAAACTGTCCAATACAAAAGCCTTCAAACACCGAAAGCAATGTAATAAATAAAATAGTAAAAATTGAATTCAAACAGGCCGAAACCATCAGTGACAAACGTAATAAATTCAGGTTTGTTTAAATGATATTCAAATAAAACTTATCTGTTAATGATTTTCTATTAAAATCATAAATACAGATAAAAAAATTAAGAATATTAGGCATGCTGTATTCTTTTGTTTTATACATTCTGTATTAATCGACTCGTGTTAAGTTGTTCAGTGTTGAAATTGTTATATTAAAATTTGTATTAAATTTGTATAACATTATTGATGTTGAGATAAAACATATAGTTTACCACGCGGCGTAATTATAAGTGATGGTTTAATGATTATTTAAAGTGTTAATTTGAAAGCAATTTTATAAAAATTGCTAATTACCGAACACATTGTGTATTTACTCCAATCGTTCGTCAAATGTTTTATATCAAAAACCGTGCAGAATTCGGTCCCGAAATCCACTAATACATTGTGTAATATATTTTGTTACCAAAATTATTCATAAAAAAGTTCAAAACATTATAAATTTAGTGAGCAATGTTCATTGACTAATTATTGTGTTGAAAATAAGTAATATGTAAGTATTATATTGTATTTACAATATTATTTTATGCTAAGTGTTCCTAACCTATAACTTTGTAATAATCCTTTCCTACAAAAACTAATAGTTATACTCGTCTAATTGTTATGTGAAAGTGAATTTAAAACTATAACAAAATAATAAATTATTAAAGTTTAACATTAACTTTTCAGCCTGAAAACTATTCAAGATGTATTCTAAGGCTTTTGATACTTTTAACGTGTTGAACAAGAAAAACTTGCTTAAACTGGGATTACATTCTAAAAAATATTCAACAGATGTCACAAATACCATAAAACCCAGAGTTATATTTGCCAAACAAGAATTAGACACCGATGATATCAGAGTCGGTAGTGTCTATCATGGCTTCAAATGCGAGGACATACAGAAGGTTCCTGAATTTAATTTGACAGCTTATAGGCTTGTACATGAAAAAACACGCACAGAATATTTGCACATAAATAGGCCGGACCCTAACAATGTATTCTCAATCAACTTTCGCACTACTCCATTCGATTCCACAGGCCTTCCTCATATTTTGGAACACACAGTTCTCTGTGGCTCGAAAAAATACCCAGTACGAGACCCGTTCTTCAACATGTTGAATAGATCTATTAGTAATTTTATGAATGCCATGACTGGCCCCGATTTCACCTTCTATCCTTTTCAACAGTGAATGAAGTGGATTATAGAAATCTACAAGCTATTTATATGGATGCTGTTTTTCATCCTAACCTGTCTCATTTAGATTTTTGCAAGAAGGCTGGAGACTTGAGCAAAAGAATTTAGATGATAAAAAGTCTGATTACTCCATCAAAGGCGTTGTTTATAATGAAATGAAAGGTGTTTTTGCAGATAATTCAGCTATATTTTCTCAAACATTTTTAAATACGATATTACCAGATCATACTTACAGATATGTAAGTGGAGGACACCCTCTGCAAATACCAAAATTGACACATACAGATTTAGTTAATTTTCATCACAAATATTACCATCCAAGTAATGCTAAAATTTATAGCTATGGAAATTTTTCTCTAACTAAATCGTTGGCATTTGTAGATGATTATGTTTCCAAATTTGATCCTGTTGATGCTAGTTACAGCATAATACCTAATCAAAAACGATGGACTTCTCCACAAAGTCATCATGTAACATGCAGATATGATAATATGGGGGCACCGTTCGAAAAGCAAAATCAAATAGCAATTGGCTATCTTATGTCAGACATAACAAATATATATGAAACATTTTTATTGCAATTCATCACTGAATTGATGATTGTAGGCCCCAATTCATATTTCTACAAGAGCCTAATTGAACCCAATATTTCAGGTGGATATAATGGTACCACAGGATATGAGAGTCAATTGAGAGATACAATGTTTGTAATAGGTTTGCAAAACATTGCAAAAGAAGATTTTGATAAATTTGATAAGATCTACAATGAAACGATTGATGAAGTTATTGCTAAAGGTTTTGATGCAAACCATATCAAATCTGTGTTGCATCGAATAGAACTAAACATAAAACATCAAAGCACAAAATTTGGCTTAAACTTACTTTTGGACTGGTACCACTGTGGAATCACAACGGTAATATCATGATGAGCTTACAAATGAACAATCTTGTTAAGAGTCTTAAGGAAAATCTTAAAGACCCTACTTATTTGCAAAAGCGAGTAGAGAATTATTTCAAAAACAATAACCATAAACTTACTCTGACAATGACTCCAGATACAGATTATGAAAAAAATTGATTGAAGCTGAACATGAATTATTACTTTCTAAGGTTAATGTTTTATCTGAGGAAGATAAAAATAGAATATACGAGAGAACAAACAACTTGAAGTATTACAAAAAACTAAAGCAAACGTTGATATGTTACCCTGTCTTAAGCTGAATGATATTCCTCTTGAAGTTAAGAGATCAGATATTAAGGTTAAGGAAATAAGGGGTGTTCCTTTCAACATATGCCATGCCGCTACCAATGGCATAGTTTATTTCAGGTCTATTTTAAGCGCATCACATTTGAATCATAGCGAAACAATGCTCTTACCATTATTTAATTCAATGTTGACTAAATTTGGTACTCAGAATCATGATTTTAGATCATTTGATCAACTAGTTAATATGAAAACGTCTGGCTTAAGTGTATCTACACATTTATCAGAAAATTTGAATGACTTTAATAAATATGAACTAGGACTCATATTGAGCAGTTTTTGCTTAAATGATAACAGTAAAGATATGATGTACTTATGGAATGAAATATTTGATGGTCCTCTATTTAACGATGAGTCAAGATTAACAATGTTATTAGAGAATTACTTATCTAATTTATCTGTCGGTATTGCTCAATCTGGACATTTGTATGCTATCATGTGCTCGAGTGGATTACTTCAGGAGTCCTCTGCTTTGAAAGAAAGTCTATCAGGGCTTCAACATATAGATTTTATGAAGAAGTATGTTGCGAATAACAAACCAAGTGAAATTTTACAACCTTCAAAGAAATGGCTACTAAATTATTGACTCGTGATAGAATGAGATGTTCTTGAACATAGATTTTAAAAATGATTCTCAGATCTTTGAACATGCAAAATGTTTCTTAGAAAACACCAGATGTACAGAAGATAAGAATATGAGTCATGTG